CCGACTATTTATTTGTTAAGTTTTTAATAAAAAATTTAAGCCCAATGCAAAATTTTGAAGCCCATAATTAATCTTTCCCCAAGCCCAACTACAAATCACCTCTCTTTTCTAGGCCCAATCACCTTCTTTTGCATGAAATTGGGCAATTTGTGAATTTTTAAGCCCAAAAAATAAATTTTTAATTGGATTTTGTACCCAAAAAAAGTAAAAAATAAAAAAAGGGATTCCAATTCGAAATCGTAAATCAAACCTACTCATGGGCAAATCGTACCACACTAGACCGGAGAATTTTTTCTTCAAAACCAAACTGAACCGAACTAGATGAATACTTCCGATTCTGATTCCAAATTTGGGGTGAGAATCGGACCGTACCCACCCTTACAGAAAACTTAGAATCATGTTTTGTGTTAACATGGCCTCGCTTAACAAGCCCTATTTATAATTGGAAAATTTGGACCAATATTGCTCTACTTGGAAACTTGGAAAAGTTCGAAAAATCATGTAAAGTAAAATCTAAGGCTAAAGAACAACACTTTTATTCTCCTCTAGATTTTCAGTGTATATTGATTTGAGTAACATCGTTTTATGTTTTTTTTGTTTTGTTTTGGTTGCAAAAATGAAAACATGTACTGCAATATCGAGAGCTTTAATAGAAAAACTTGAAGAAAAAAAATACAAAATAGACAAACTAGACAAACTAGCAGCTTTGCATATAACGTGTCAAATTATGCCGGAAACATAGAAAAATAATTTTTAAATTTTAGATGAAATTTTCAATGGAAATTGATTAGAAATTGCGTACTGACATAAACAGTTAAAAGGTCTTTTAATTTTGTTCTTAATTTGCATTTTCAAATTGTCTTTTAATCTGTTTCCTTCATTTGACGCATGTTATTAATAGTAAAATAGGAACATCTAAATAACGGAATTCTTTTTTCTGAAAAACAGAGGTGGTATTAACTGAAAGGAAGCATGACCTCATTTAAATTCTTATTCCATAGTTAACATTTCATTCTCACCCTCCCTCTCATGCATGCACATCTAAGTATGAAACTAGGTTTTAACAAGATCTTTCATGCATTCATGGCAAAAACATGTTATGGTCATAGCTCCACCACCCATTGCCCTACTTGAAAGCATGCATGCATGCATATTCCTGCGCAAACGCTTCAGGTCTTTATATGATGAATACTCAAGTTATCATTATATCACATTATTTCTAGTAAGAAAACTACAAACATATAATTCAATGTTTGTAACCACGTTAATTTACTAGCATTTTTTTTAGTTTAGGCGGGGAGAATGAAAAACACCTTTTCAAACACAATCCACCATTATCTTAAGTTTCAACGATAAGATATATACATATAGTATAGATATGTATATATCCGAAAGAGTAAAATACTCTCTTACTAGCTAGACTATCGATCATTTTATGCGGTCAGACTACAAATCTAGATTTGGTGATCTACATTCTTGTTTGAGTGTATAATTTAATTGATGGTCTAACATATCGTGTCTCTCACAAGAAAACCATTAACTTTATGTCCTTTTGAAACACGGATATTCTTCATTGTATATAGGCCCCACCTAAGATTTTATATAATATCTACTACCAATATGTGATAGGTGGAGGATAAGATTACAGATTTTTATATATACACTTTGTCCAAAAAGATATACACAGTTTTGATTGGTAAACAAAATTGATTGCGCATGTAGTACAAGAAAAGAACATCACCATATAATGTTTCTCAAACTGCGACACCTAGCTAGAAGTTGTCTTAATCAAAAGTATACAAGGTAGTAACTCTCGAACTAGTTGCCTTTGAAATAGAGTATGACTATCTAAAAGTTATCATCTACAAGATTCTCCCTCTCTCTCTCTCTCTCTCTCTCTCTCTCTCTCTAGAAGCTTCTGGTTCTCCTTTTTTTTCTTTTGGAAGCTTAGACACAATAAATAATGTCTGTGTGCAGAGTTCAAACCATGGAATTTCAGGAAGGACAGGTAATTTCCATAAAAGACACCCTCTCCTCTAAATATATTTCAAATGACTGAATCTTAGATTCTCTCTCTGTCTCTATCTCTCTCTCTCTCTCTCTCTCTCTCACACACACACACACAGACAGACACACACAAGTCAAGTCAAACTTCAGACATCATACATATTGGTTATCTTTTCAAGGAAGGAAAGAGTCAAGGGAATTATAAGGTATATAGTGGTGGGTGCTGGTACCTTGAGCTTGAATAATGAAAGAGCTTGTCAGTGGCAGAAAAGATGACGACAGCCACCTCAGATTCACACAGAACAGATAGCTCTGCAGCTTTCTTGAAGAGCCCTCTTCTTCTCTTTGAAAAGGTAACCTGCCTTGCTGGCAGGTAGTCAATCTTCTTGATCTTGATCTTCTCCCTCATCATTTTCACCATTTCCCTTCAAAAAAATTCAAACCAACCACTTTTCACATATATTATTATCTTCACACACTCAAAAACTACACAATATTTTCTGGGTTCCTTCTCAATTAATTTAACCTTTTAATGGTCCCCAGATCTAAATGAACAAAACCCAGAAAAACCCACCAACCAAAATAGGTTACAAGTTCACTACAAAAAGAAGAAGAAGAAGAAGAAGAAGACGAAGAAGAAGAGGAAGAACCCTAATTAATTTAATCAATTAATCTCTGGGTTTTCCTCTCTGTTTTTAATGTTTACCTTTGTCGGGGGTTTTCAGCCCGGTCTGAAGTTTTGGTCTGTCCAGAAAAACTAAGAGAATTAGAGAGATAAAGGGCGGCTGCTGTTGGTGGCTAGTTGTTCAAGAAAGGAAATTTTCCTTTTTATGGAAAACATCTATTTTTATTATCCTCTGCTTTACTTCGGTCTCTTCTGGGAAAACAATGAAACCTGAGCAAATCGACGGGTACAGATGCACCTTAACGTTGATGCATGCAATCTCCACCGTTGATCTTGTAATGCGACAGCGCAAACCGCAGCATCTTACTTTTTGTGATTGATTTTGTCCATATCTAAGTTATGTTTTTTTAGGTCAGAAGTATCTAAAGTTTAGTTTGTTGTCGGTTTAATTCTTACTACGTGTACAAAAGAAATAATAAATTTTATTTTTATGTGGAGTCGGATGGAGACAGGTCATTCGCTGTCATGTCACTTGATTGGGCCCACCATGCGACACGTGGCTGTCTATATCTTGCTCAGGTTCCTTCCCCCACTTCATTTTTATCCACGCAAACAGTACGTGTCTCGCCGTGACATTGATAACCCAAGCAAATTCAAAATCAACATAATTCACCATGCAAGCTGCATTAATACAAAGTTTTAAATACAATACAAAGTCAGTGCAATTTCAAGTTGCATGTAACGCATAGGTTTAGATACAACACACAGTCACCCTCCCTTTGATATTTTTCAATGTTATGTCGAGTAAAGACACATAATCACTGATATCTTACAATACCTCGACTTTCTTTATTTAGTTATAAGAAGAGTAAACTTTCATCTTTCTCCACTTCTTAACGCCTGAAATTCAGAAAAAATACATACAAAATGATTAGTAAATTTATTTAAAATGTGAAGAATAAATGAAATACCATGAATGCAACTGTGCACGAACATTTATTTGTGGGGATGTTTTAACTTGTATTATGCAGGTTATGCTGTCATAGCGGGAGTGTGGAATAAATTCTCCCCTACGTTTTCAGCCCCTTTCAGTGTTGAGATTCCTCGACTGAAGCTTTCTGTAATTTTCATAGAACAATGCGGGAAAGTTAATTATTTTTATTTTTATACAAAAAATGTTTAAATTAATTTGATTTAGATTGCCATACTATGCAATAATAATGACGTTAATTCACATAAGCCATCCATTATTTTCTATAACAAAATATAATTTAAAAAATGTGAAATTTCAGTGAAAGTCACTTCTTTCAATTTAAATAAACACAAAAAATGAAATGGCCCAAATACATAATAATGAAACCTCAAAAGAAACTTGATCTACAAACCCCTAAAACATCTTCAATCGAATTGGGAGGGTTAGTACGCAAACGGAAAGGCTCTAATGAAGTGTTTAGAGTGATGAGCTTATTTGAGGGGTTCAATCCCACCATCAACAAATGAGAGGAAATCAATGAACTGAAACATTTTAAATAGTTTGATAGTGGGATTAAACCCCTCAAATAAACACCTCACTCTAAACTCCTCATTGTAGAAGCTCTAGTGTAGTAAATAGGTGAAAACAGTTAGGCCCAAATGAGCTCTTATACTATATTACTGAAAATATTGAAGTTGCTGGGAAATAAATCATCGTGCAATTGTTTTTGATTTATCTGAAATTCGTGATGACTTTTTTGAATTGTCAATATTTCTATATTAAAAACATGTCGGTGGGATCAGCAATTCGTAGTTTTTCTTTTCTAAAAATCCAAACAATTTGGTTTGGTAGAGTTAAAAAATGAAACCCAAGATCAAGTTGAGAAGTAGAGAAATAAATCTAAGCAAAACCCTCAACACAAGGGAAGGGAAAATATCATCCTCCCTCTTGTTGCACGACGCCCGAGTACCATCAAATAAAGCAATGATCAAGCATTTCTTCTCAGATGAAACTTAAAAGCATATAAATAGCAAATAGCAAAAGTAGCTCACCCCAGTTTGAGAGACAAAGTGACCTCATCGGAGGAGTCATCTTCAAGAGAGAGACTGACAGCACTGTTGCAGGTGGTGGAGATAGCAGATTCAGCTGACATGCCTTCTTCTTCTCCTCCACCTTCAATATTATTATTCAGCCTCTCCGGATCCATAAGCGCAGGTCCAGTATTTCCTCCGGATAACATCACCATCTGCTATGCAAAAAATTACAAGAGAAAAAAAAAATCAACCCATAATCTTTTATTAAGTGCACTCTTCCTCTCAAAAAACAAAAAGAGAAGAAGAAAAAGTAAGAAGAAGTATGTACATGATTGTGGTAGTTGCTTACCGTCTGCCTTAGCTGGCTGTTGGCTTCAACTAGCTCAGCTCCCTGAAATTATAGTCAGTGAATGAAAGAGAGAACCAAAGCCAAACTTGGTTATGATTATTGATGTTAATTTATATATGTTTTTAAGTCGTGATTATTTTACGTTTGTTTCCATTTACAGATCTGTACGTATCAATCATCTAACCTTTCTTTCAAGTTCCATAATCTCACTCTTAATCAGCTCTTCCTGGAAAAGAATGGAACAGTTGCATTTAGATGTTAGTTTTCAGAAAATAAACCTTAGTGACAACCCAGAATACACCTATGCTTTTCTCAAAATACAGCAATAAAAATATACCCTATTTACACAGACGATACTTCTACAAACAAAGACCTACTTTATATTATTCGAACGGTTCATTGCTTACGTTTTCATTCAAGAATCATCCAGAAAAAAAAAAAATTAACATCGGAGACCAATTGACCATTTCTTTAAACAATTTAACTAACTTTATGCAACATGGATCCCTAATTTGAGATTTAAATACTAAACGATTTCGACAAATATACCACAATACAAAGAGCCTTCGCACCATGGTTTCTAGAAAATAAATTAGCTAGGGCAGACCTTAGTTTCCATGACACGGCCAAGGCTTGCTTCCACCAGTTGTTCCAACTTCAGCAACTCATCCAGATTCAGCCCTTCAAGATCCTCACCTTTCATCTGCCTGTTGCAAGCCCGTCCAATTTCAGCAGATGCATCAAACAATAATACCAGCTAAACAGCCACATATATATATATATATATATATATATCTTACAAGTTCATGAATTTTGTACCTCAGCTGGTGGCTCGTCTTCTCAAGTTCCTTACTCAGTTTGATATGGTTTTCATTCTCCAGCTAAAATGAGAAATATTGGAACCATTACATAATTTAATCTGTCTCTGTCAAATGAAAAGCTTATAAACGTCAGCCTCGAAAAATATAAGAAAAAAATAAACAAAAAGGATCACAATATATTTTAGAAAATGGAATCAATGAATTACTTGAACATACAAACCCAACATTAATACCTTAGAAAAACTTAGGGATTTAATTCATAGCAACAAACCCAACTTAGATCAAGGCAAATGGAAAAAGAACAGACAACAGATTAACAGATTAAATCTAAAGCACAATATTAACACGTAGGGCACTCTTACTTTATTGGAAGAACTTCAACATTTTGTTAGGGCAAAAACTTCAACATTTTTACTCCCCATCCAACCACTACTTGAGCACCAAAACAGAGTTTCTTTCCTGATTACTCAAATTCTATAGAGATAAGGAGTTTAATGAAATTTTGACCTAGGTATTCATGTTATTCTGGTGCTAAGCTGCTCCAAATTTTTGTGTTTAGAGTTTTCTGGTGCTGGGGCAACAAGGGGAAAAATAAATAAATTTGTCGGGTTTCACGATCGTTCTGGGCATTTTTTGCTGGAGAAAAATGTGATTGATTGATAGTTGCTGATGAATCTACGTTGCAATTTTTTCATTGGCTAATTCTCAAACACCACCAGGACTTGGCCCAAGACTACTATTTCCTTCCATCTGTAGACCAAATTAATAAGTCCCTCCCACTAGAAATGGACTTATCAAAGCCACCTAGCTGCATACATTTAGCCCAAGAGGCCGACCCTGCTGCATGCGTATGTACATAAGTCTGGCATGTAACAGGAAATAATGCTTTTTATTTATGTTCAAACAATCAGAACCTTCACATGCTATATATAGAGAGATATTTTGAAGCTCCAAAGTGCAGATCACATAGTATGTTACCATTAATTGCAGAACAATTTAAAAGGGTGAAACGGAAAAGGTAAACCATTGAACTCATTTACCTGCAGCTCAATCTCTTGATTGTTCAATTTTTCGACACCATTCATGTCTGCGTTGTACCTTTCAATAACATCCTTGGTACTTCATAACAAAAAACGAAAAGAAAAAAAAATCAATTGGCATGTTCACTAGTAAATTGTTAGACATTGAACATGTGACTAAGCATACATGAGAAACAAAAAAATGGAAAAGAATTATTATTCAAACTTCTGGTTTGCAAACACCAAGACACACACTAATGTCTAATTCAGGGTTTTGATAATCCAATTTCAATTATAATGCAAAATACAAGCAAACCCAGGATTGGATTTCCAATTTTCTGCAGACCCAGAATTTTTCCAGTTATATATTGGAGATCCAAAAAAGGCCACACCATAGAATAACCCAATCATCTCAAGAGAAAACAAGTATAATGAATAATTTCATTAGAATTTTGTACTAAAAATAGCATCAACAGTAACCAACCGCTTTGGACAAGCATGCAATAATCTAACTATGATTTATTAAAAAAGTAAATTCAACAGTGAAAAATAAATGAACTAATTTACCCCTCCCTCCCCCCACAAATTAAATATATATATATATATATATATATATGTCACAGATTTGGATATTTTTGTACCATTAGTACTGTTCCTTGCTAGCATCAAAAAAGGGTTTCATTCAAGACCCATCATCACAACTACGATTTTGGAGATTTTGAAATGAAATAAATACTTGTTTTATATGCATAATGAGAACGTTAAGCTATTTGCTACTGGATTTATCGCATGGTTTGGTTATGCAAATCAAACGTCAAATCAAATTCCTTCATAGCTATTTTATAGAAAACCTATATATATATATATATATATCCCAACAAGCAACTGAGATAGTTTACAACACAAGGCATTTATATATAGAAAATGCTAAGAAGATCATCTTTAGAGACCAACTTATGTATCATATCTTTAATAGAGATGAGACCCATTGTATTAGTGAGCTTCCTTTCTGAGTTGCTTTGTTTCGTAGTTTTTGTACCCTCCCTATTTTTGACGAGGTATCGGAATGAAATATCACCATTTGACAAAAAAATAATAGATTTACTTGAATTCAAATTCATTTTTCCTTGTATGGGGTCATTCGATGTTGGTGGAAAAGATTGATAAACAATACATTGGAAAAATCTTTCGTGCCTTTGAATATTAATAGATTGATTGTTACACTTATGTATCTTCTAACGGATTGATTGTTAAATCTTAAACCAAACCACAAGCTCTCCAGAGTCACCTCATACCAAGCTAGAAAGAACCATCAAACAAACCAACTTCTTGTGGTTTGGCAATCATCCGAAAACCAAAACTCGCCAATCTTAGGCAGCTTCTACTGCCTAAGATCTTGCTTGCTTGATTACTAAACCACATACTAGTTAAGTTAGTGTTTGTACCAAAATTTTCACAAGCCACTGGCAGGCAGAATAGAAAACGGGTGAACAAAGCCACTTATTTTGCGCCAAAAATTTCAAAGGTCTCTATGTAGGTGAATAAATCCATGACCATCATCCCGACGCCAGCTTTCTACAATGTCCCGACATCATCATCTCCATTCCTCAATATGCCCATAGAGATCGAAATACTAAAACGTGGTTAAGACACCTTAGACAAGAACTCTCTTCTTTGAACATACTTAATTCATGTAGAACAGATGTCGAAGACAATTGAAGAAGAGTAGAAGAGATGTGCGCAAGCGCAAACCTAGAACGCTGCAAGTTTGGACCCATGACCCATCAATTCGAAGAGAACGGCTTTTTCAGGCATCCGATATCTTTTAACCCCCCAAAATTCAGTTTTTATGTTTTAGGAGTTTTTGAAAATTACTTTGTAATTTTTCCTATTTTAATTCCTTGTTTATTCCTGAGGTTTCTAGGGTATTTAAAGAATTTTGGCTAGGGTTAAGTTATGTTATTCCAAATTATCAATAAACTTGAGGTTCCCTCATTTCTTCATGGTGGATTTCAAAGTTGTGTGTTTTAGGCTAAATATTCAGCCATTTTTATTGTCATGATGAGTCATTAATGCAAGTAGACACCCACGATGTAAGTTTTTTCAACCAAATTACAGAATTGAAGCAAATATTAAAGGTTAAAGTACGTAGTGTCTCGAACAAGTGTTTTAGCCATCTTCATCTAACTTTTTACAGGACGCACTGCTCTTGAATTTTGTTCGCATCATCTAGCAAGACTAGAATCATCATACGACTTCTACCTCCTCCTTAATTGTACTTGCATAGATAGTCATAGCGCCAACATTGTGAGCTTGATTTATCATCCTTATCGGTCTTAAAAAGTCACCCTTGTAGTGAATACTATTATCCCACTGGAACAAGGGGATCCAGACTCCCCAAAGCTATAGGCTAATAGGACATGAAAATCTAGTAGAAAACTTGGAATCATGTAAAACATTAAACAACCAAGTGACAACATAGGAAGTTGGTGAACCTAATAAATGGGAAGAAGATGTACTATGAAGTGTTGAACCTACTAAAATGGGAAGAGTGATCTCCTATGGAAGAAAACTTGAAGTGGCTAAGGACTCCAACATGTTATAACATGGCCTCGCTACATAAACACACATATGACTTTCGAGTTCCTATATAAATCTTTCGACACATTACTAAATAAATCTTTCGAAAATATCCAAGAGCAATACTTTTCCAAACTTTTGAGAATTTGGATCAATAGTGCTCTACTAGGAAACTTGGAGAAGTTTGAAAAATAATGTAATAGTAAAATATTCATTTCATGGTTTTGTTTTGGTTGCAAGTACTCTGGTACTTGAATATAAATACAATTACAAAACCTTTAAAAAAATATATTAAAAAACTCTGCATATAACATGTCAATTAGGAAACCAAGAAAAATAACTTTTAAAGAAAACTGATTAGAAATTGCATACTGACATGAACAATTAAAGGAAGACCACCTTAGAGTTTATTTTTGGGTTAAAGAAGACCACTTTGGAGGTGGTATTTCTAGTTTGTCTTTTTTTTTTTAATAAATATAAATGATCAGCACAATTATTTTTGTTAACTGAAAGGATGCGTGACCTTATTTAAATTCTTATTCCATAGTTAACATTTCATTCTCTCCCTCCCTCTCTTTCCTCCCTCTCTTTCCTTCCTCTCATGCATGCACATCTAATCCTTATTCCATAGTAGCTAGTTATGCATTCATGGCAAAAGGTCATGGCTCCACCACCCATTGCCCTATTTGAAAGCACGCATGGATATTCTTGCTGAAAGTCTTCAAGGCTTCTATGATGAATTCTCAAGTTATCATCATACCACTTTATTCCTAGTAAGAAAATTACAAACATATAATTCAATGTTTGTAACCACATTAATGTACGGGCATTTTGTCGTTTAGGTCCTTTTCAAACACAACCCACCAATATCTTAACTTTGATGGATAAGATACATATAGATACGTATATATATGATAAAGAGTTAAATACTCTCTTACTAGCTAGACTATCTAACATTTTATGTGGTCAAACTATGAATCTAGAATTGGTAATCTGCATTCTTATTTGAGTGTATGATTCGATTGATGGTCTAATATATCGTGTTTCTCATAAGGAAACATTAATTTTAAGTGGGAAGAATGTTTGAAGGATAACATATATACATATAGATGTGTATATATATTGTAAAGGGTCAAATACTCACTAGCTAGCTACAGGAACTATCATTTTATGTGTTTAAACTATGAATCTAAAAAAAGTTATCTGCTTTATTTTTTGAGTGTATGATTCGATTGATGGTCTAACATACCGTGTCTCTCACAAGGGAACATTAATTTTAACTGGGACTTGGACAATGATATTCTTCATTGTATAGGCCCCACCTAAGATATTATATAATATCTATTACCAACATGTGATAGGTGGGAAAGGATGAGATTGAAGCAGCGAGATATACTAGTGTACAAGATCATAAGATTACAGAATTTGCTAAACAAGATATACACGTACACAGTTTTACATATGCATGCGTGTAGTACAAGAAAAGAACATCACCATCATATACACCACATACTTTCCAGAAGTTGTCTTAGTCAAAAGTAGACTTTATTTTCCTTAAGTGGATAGATATACAAGGTAGTGACCCTCGAACTAGGTTTTTTTGAAACAGAGTATGACTATCTAAAAGTATATTTCGACCGAAAAAAAAAAAAACCTATCTAAAAGTATCATCTACAAGATTCTCTCTCTCTCTCTCGAAGCTTCTGGATTCTCCATTTTTTCTGTTGGAAGCTTAGATACAATAAATAATGTCTCTGTGCACAGTTCAAACCATGGAATTTCCATAAAGGCACTCTCCCTCTCCTCTAAATATATTTCTACCCAAATGACTGGATCTCAGAATCTCTATCTCTCTCTCTCTCTCTCTCTCACCCACACAGAGAGAAGTGAAGTCATCAGACTTCATAGACATCATGATCATACATAATTGTTATTTTTTCAAGGAAGGAAAAGTCAAAATAATTATAAGGTATGTTGCTGGTACCTTGAGCTTGAATAATCAAAAAGCTTGCCAGTGGCAGAAAAGATGACAACTGCCACCTCAGATTCACACAGAACAGATAGCTCTGCAGCTTTCTTGAAGAGCCCTCTTCTCCTTTTTGAGAAGGTCACCTGCCTTGCAGGCAAGTAGTCAATCTTCTTGATCTTGATCTTATTCATCATCTTCAAAAAAATTCAAACCAACCACTTTTCACATACACTAAAAAACTATACAATATTTTCTGGGTTTCTTCTCAATTTTAAACTTTTAATGGTTCCCAGATCTAAATGAACAAAACCCAGAAAAACCCACCCCCCAAAACATAAAGAAGAAGAAGAAGAAGAAGAAGAAGAAGAAGAGGAGAAGAACCCTAATTAATTAAATTCTGGGTTTTCCTTTTTGTTTAATGTTTACCTTCGTTGGTGGGTTTCGGGGTCTGCGTTCGAAATGAGAGAGAGAAATGGCTCCTGCTGCTGTCTGGCTGTTTCTCAAGAAGGGAAATGAAATGATTTATGAATTTTCCTTTATATGGAAAAATATATTCTTCTATTATCTTCTGGGAAACAAGGTTAAGAAACCTGAGCAAATCGAAGGGGACAGATGCTCTTGACGTTGATGAATGCAATCTGCACCGTTGATATGTGACTTGAGAAAATGTGGCATCTGACTTTTTGTGAAAGAGTTTTTCAGAGATATCTAAGTTTTGTTTTTTTTGTCGGTAAAATTCTTATTACGTGTCAATCTACAAAAGAAAGAAGAAATTTTTTTTTTATAGGTGTGGGGGATGGCCCTTTGACACAGGTCATGCCCTGTCATGCCACTTGATTGAGCCCACCATGACACGTGGCTTTGTCCTTATCTTGCTCGGGTAACTTCCCCCAGGGCCACTTCTATTCATTTAATCCACGCAGACAGTACGAGTCTCGCTACACGAGTTTCTTCTTAAACATTCTGGTTCCTGCATTTAAAATTTATTTAACTTGTTTTTGTCTGGTTTAAGTTTTGGTGTACATGAGTTGTAATAGTATAAATAAAACAATTTTACCTATGATGCCATTCGTGGGACTAAACTTCACGATATCTTGAAACGAGCTTTGTAACGTGAAAACAAATGAGGAAAGACATCTAAGTCTTTAAGCACATCGGTCTACGACCCGCGCGTACCGTTAGCCTGTGTGACATTGATAACCCAAACAATACAAAATTAACAAGTGTCTCCATGCAGGCTGCACTGATACAGAGTTCTAAATACAATACAAAGTCAGAGCAATATGTCACAGGTTGCATGTAATACACATGTTTTGATACATCACAAAGTTACTCTCCCTTCAATATTTTTCAATCTGGTATCAAATTAAAACACACAAGCACCGATATCTCACAATACCACAACTTTCTTTATTTAGCTATAAGGAGAGTAAACTTTCATCTTTCTTCACTTCTTAACCAAGGAAATTAGGAACGCCTGAAATTCATAGTAAAGTGAAAAGAAAATTTGTTAAAAATGGTGAAGAATAAATAAAATACCATGAATAATTAAAATGCTTGGGTTGGGAGGGTAAGTGGTAAAGAGATGAAAACAGTTTGGTTAGGCCCAAATGATATATCTTTTTTCCAAAAACATATTACTGTAAATATCTGAAACTCATGATGACTTTCAAATAACTTTTCTATAATAAAAAATATTGTCAAGTACAGAAAACATCCATTATTTTGGTGTGGTAAAAGTTAAAATTGAAACCCAGAATCAAGTTGACAAGTACAGAAAATATCCTAGTTGTTCTGTATTGCACGACAACCGCGTATTCAAATTCCAAAACTTCTATTCTCTGATCTCATCAAACTTAAAAAGAAAAGACATATATACACACACACACACACACACACACAAATAGCAAAACAAAAGAAGGCTAGCTCACCCCAGTTTGAGAGATAAAATGGCGTCGTCGGAGCATTCATCTTCAAGAGAAAGACTCAGAGCACTGTTGCAGCTGGTGGAGGTAGCAGAGTCAGATGGCTCCATAAGCGCAGGTCCGGTACTTCTTTTGGATAACATCACCATCTGCTATGCAAAAAATACAAAATTAAAAAAACATATAAAAAAACAAATAAATAAAAGGATCAACCCTTCTTTTATTAAGAGCAATATGTTGCTTACCCTGTCCCTTAACATCACCATCTGATTGTTGCCTTCTACCAGCTCAGTTCCCTGATATTATAGTTGATGCATGCAAGAGAAAACCAGAGCCAAACTTTGTTATGATTATTTATGTTGAAATTAGTTTTCATTTACAGAGTGCGTATCAGTCATCTAACCTTTTTCTCAAGTGCCACAATATCACTCATAATCAGTTCTTCCTGAAATTTGCATTTAGATGTTAGTTTACTTGCTTTTCACAACAGACAGCAATTAAAATATACTCTGTATACACAAGGGGCAGACCTTAGTTTCCATCACACGGACAAGGGTTGCTTCCACCAGTTGTTCCAACTTCAGCAACTCATCCAGATCCAGCTCTTCAAGATCCTCACCTTTCATCCGCCTGTTGCAAGCCAGTCCAATTCCAGCAGATACATCAAACAATAATACCAGCTAAACAGCCACATATATCTTACAAGTTCATGATGATTTAATAAATTTGTACCTCAGCTGGCGGTTCTTCACCTCGAGTTCCGTACTGAGTTTGATGCGGTTTTCATTCTCCAGCTAAAATGAGAAATATTGGAACCATCATTTAGAGAATTTAATCTGTCTCTGTTACATGAAAAGCTTATAAACGTCAGCCCCGAAAAGAAACAAAGAAACAACATAATGGGGAAAAGAAAAGGATTACAATTTTTTTTTTGAAATGGAATCACATGAATTATTTGAACATACAAGAACATGGATTTATAATTTGTCCTAGTCATTAATACCTTTGAAAAACTTAGGGATTTAATTAATAGCAACAAACCCAACTCGCAGAAATCTGAATTTTCGATTGAGGCAAATAGAAAAAGAACTTGTACTGATTAAATTGAGATAACAGATTAAATCTAAAGCACACAGGGTATCCAAACTCTTACTTTATTGGAAGATGGCAGGATGAAATCACATAATCAAAGTCCTCGATAGGCCATGCCACTCATCCATTAACAAAATATATAGCTAGGTCAAATATTAGAGATTCAGATACTTATTTTTTTCTCCTTGGTGGACTTTATGGCAATGCCACTCAACTTCTATAGAGATAAAGAATTTAATGAAATTTTGACCCAAGTATTCATGTTAGTCTTGTGCTAAGCGGCTCTAAATTTGGAGTTCTTCAACCAGCGGCTCTAAATTTTGGTGTGGGAATATTCTATACATTCAGGCAAGGTGATTTTTATGGGGACTGTACTGTGCTGCTTGTTTTCTGTTCTCTTCATGGGGTTTTGAGGTCGTTCTGGGTATTTGTGATTTCCTAGTTTCTTCAGTAACAAAATTAGGGTTCTATGTGAGCCTGTTAAAAAAAGGCTATTAGGGGCTAATCCTCAAATGAAATCAAAGTGAGAGTTTGTCGCCATCTAGAGGTTTGGGGTTCCTAGAGAGATTAGACAACTTTCAAGGTTTGGATCTCTGCAAGTATGCAAGTGTTGATAGAGACGCACAATATGTGATGTAGGACAAGATAGGGATGAATTCAAGTGGAAAAAATTATGGGGTAGTCCACATGCTCTACTTTTTCAATTCTAGTCCAACCACCATGTATGTCCACAATTTTTAATGAATTTACAGTATATGCCACTTCCAGAAATGGAAGTCTATGAAAGCACCTCCCTAAAATTTATGCATCTCCTACAATCATGTTAGTTTGAAACAAATATGGCAATTTTACCCTTGATAAATTCGGCATTTTTTCTTAGGTTGGTGTGACTATATATGTTGTGGAGGTTTCATTTTTACCTAGACTAGAGGTAACTTATGGATTTCATTATCTGGACTAGAGGTGGTTTATGGGTTTAATAACCTGGACTAGAGGTACGAAGTTTCTAGGAACCGCGATTACAAGTTTTGAGGTAGCTATACCTGGAACAGAGGCATATTTACGGTTGTGGGTGTAGTTTAGTGTGATTTGTAGAATGTGTTGATGTCCTAAATATTTATGGTTTACAGTTTTGGAACAGCGGCATGTTCTAAATATTTGTGTGAACAGAGGCATATTTACGGTTTTGGAACAGAGGCATAGGGGCTTAAATAGAGGGGGGCAGAGATTAGCCGTCCGTTAGGACAAGATCCCACATTGGAAAAATAGCACATCCTATAGAATGGTTTAAGAGCTCAAAGGCACCTTTCCCTTACAAGCCGGTTTTTAAGGGCAAGTTCTACCTATGGGTTCTTAACATTTGATATCGGAATATGGTTTCACCAAGCAACTGGGCCCAATTCCACAGAAAGGTTGACCTGTACGCTGGATTAAGATGATTGGTGTTATGTATAGGCATGATATTGATCACTGAATACTGATAGTTGAGTGAAATATAGGGTTTAGGGTTTAGTGAAGTCGCCTCAAATAAAGTAAAGGGCTACCACCAGGTCAGTGTAGATAGAGTGGGCCAACAAGGACGTTAGAAGGGGGGTGTGACTCCTCCCCTAAGATGTGATTGCGGTGTGAGAGCTGAGATGCGAATGCGGTTGGTCTCTGTTTTCAGCTGCGTGACAGCTACGGTTATTGGTTACCTTTAACTGATGTACTTAAGCCTATGACCTCCCACCCCTAATCAACACTGTCAAAATTGCATTCCAAACATAATAGTAAAATCGTACTACATTTCTGACAGAAAATCATTCATTTCAAAACAAAAAAGTAAAATCGTTCCTTTTCATTTTTCCTAACCAATAAGGTTTTTAAAATTAGGGAGAAAAAACTGTTACTCTAGGAGGCTGTAATATCGATTCAATATAAGTCTCCAACTCAACTATCATAAAAATTAAATCGGCTGCATGCCCCTAAAACTAAAGTTTGAAAAACAACGGATTTGTAACTCAATCGGTTAAGAAGAATCTAATCTCTACCTTGAGCATAATTAAAATTGAAAAAAAAGGAACGCTTGGAAAACCAACAGTAAAAGTAAATAATATTTGATGATGATTCTATGTTCCAATTTTTCACTGGCCAATTCTTAATTTACACCAAATTAAGTCCCACTAGAGTTGGACTTATCAAAGCCACCTACATATATTTAGCCCAAGAGGCCGACCCTGCTGCATGCATATACATAAGTCTGACAATGCTTTTTTTTATCTATGTTCAAACAATCAGAACCGTCGGATGCTATAGAGATACATTTTGAAGCTCCAAAGTGCAGATCAGAGAGTATGTTACAATTAATTGCAGAACAATTTAAAACGAGTAAAGGGAAAACTATTGAACTCATTTACCTGCAGCTCAAGAGACTGTTCATCCGATTTTTCGACACCATTTGTGCGCGCTTTGTACCTTTCAATAACATCCTTGATACTTCACAACAGAAAAAGATTAAAAATAAATAAAAAAATCAATTGGCATGTTCACTGGTAAATTATTAGACACAGAAAAATTAACATGTGAGTAAGCATATTTGAGAAACAAAAACATGGAAAAGAATTTTACCCCCATTATTCAAACTTCTGGTTTGCAAAACACAGAGATACACTCATGTTTGTTTGTTGTTTTTTTGTTTTTGTTTTTTTTGTTTTTTGTTTTTTTGTATAAGACTAATAAATGATATCATTGTATGATATGTGTGCATGGCTTCCTTTTAATAATCTGCAATTTATCATACTAAAATATTCTCTACCATAACTTCAAAGCTTGATGGCATGGCATCTTGCTTTTGATTGAATTATTTTCTGACTTTGGTGTCTATAACTAACATAACCAACAATCAGAATAATTTCAGTTTCAATTATAATGCAAACTCTGATTTCCAATTTTGTGCAGTCCCAAAATTTGATTTCCTCCAGTTATATATTGCAGACCCAAGAAAGGGACTCTAATCATCTCAAGAGAAAGCAAGTACAATGAATATATTGCCTATTTCATTAGAGTTTGTTAAAAAAAGTAATACCAAACAGTAACCAAACTACACACGCATGCAATAAGCTAAGAATCCCCTCCCCCAAAAAAAAAAAAAAATTTCTCAGCTTGGCTTCCAAACGCACAAATATCACATACATAACGAGAACGTAAAGCTATTTGCATGGTTTGGTTACGCAAATCAAAACGTCAAGTCAAATTCCTTCAATAGCAGCTGAGATATTTTCGAACACAAAGCAAAGCAAACCCACGTATCAAGTCAACTGATAAGAAGTGGGCCTCAAAAATCTTAGTCACAGTTCCTCTCACATCAACTCTGACACCATCATGTCAATAATATATGCTTGGAATATATTGTTATGTTTGGTAGGCTACCATGAAAAGATGAATCATTACTAAACCCTAAAAAACCTTAAGAAAAGCTATCCGCCTGGGGCTAGGTCATGTACAGGTTTTAGACTTTCAACCTCAGCCCCGTTCATTAATAATGGAAACTTGGAGTATTAGAATACCTATATGAACCTTTACTTAGAAAATTTTGACACATTGCTCTACTTGGAAACTTGGAAAAGTTTGAATCTATGGCTAAAGAAGAACACTTTTATTCTCCTTTAGTTTCAATTATGGTTTATGTATTGGTTGCAACTACATATGCACAGATGGAAACATGGAAAGCAAAAATAGAAAAAAGAAAAATAACATTCAAATTAAATTTGCAACGGAAATTGATTAGAAATTGCACACTGACATAAAGAATTAAAGACCTCCATTAGTACGTGTTTGTTACTTATAGTTTTGCTTTCTCTGTCTTTTAATTTTGTTCGATAATAACCAACGCAAATAGATGTAGCTTTTAGATAATAACTTCTTTAAAAAAAAATTTAAAAAAAAACCATTAATTCGTGCACACAATACAGCATTTAAAATTTAAAAAAAACATCGCCATATAAAAGAGTATTCTTTTTTATATATGGAGTGTATTTTGGGTTAAAGAAGACCACCTTAGAGGTAGTATTTCTAGTTTTTTTAAATTAAATATAAATGACCAGCACTTACTATGTGCAATTATTTTTGTTAACTGAAAGGAAGCACATGACCTTATTTAAATTCTTATTCCATAGTTAACATTTCATTCTCACCCTCCCTCTCATGCATGCCCATCTAATTATGAAATTAGGTTTTAACAAAATCTTTCATGCAATCATGGCAAAAACATGTTATGGTCATGGCTCCACCACCCATTGCCCTATTTGAAAGCACGCATGGATATTCTTGCTGAAAGTCTTCAAGGCTTCTATGATGAATTCCCAAGTTATCATCATATCACTTTATTCCTAGTAAGAAAACTACAAATCACATAATTCAATGTAACTGTGAGAATGTGAAGAAATGTCCCACATTGGAAAGTTAGAGAAACTTAGCAAGGGCTTATAAGGATTTGGGCTACTCCTATTGGCCACTTGATTTTCGGATGAAACCTCTACTTTCTTTATAGTATCATAGCGGGTTTGTTCACGTGTGAAGCCCAACGGCCACACGTGCTCCACACCACCTAATGTGTTGTCCACGTTTAGAGTTTAAATGTCGCTACATGTGCAGGGGCGTGTGAGAATGCGAAGAAATGTCCCACAATAATTTTTGGAAGTTGAGAAACATAACGAGAGCTTATAGGAGTTGGGGGCTACTCCCCCTAGCCAAACTGGCATTTTCTAGAGTAGGTGGGGAAAATGAATTGACACCTTTTCAAAGACAACCCACCGCTATCTTCAGTTTGAAGGATAATATATATACAAATAGATGTATATATATATATATGGTAAAGAGTAAAATGCTATCTTATTAGCAAATTTATCATTTTATGTGGTCAGACTATGAATCTAAAATTGGTGATCTGCATTGTTGTTTGAGTGTATGATTCGACTGATGATCTAACATACTGTATCTCTCATAAGGGAACCATTAATTTTAGCTCCTTGGACAAGGATATTCTTCATTGTATAACCCCGACCTAAGATTTCATATATTATCTATTACCATATGTGATAGGTGGGACATGATATTGAAGCAGCAAGATACTAAACTATGCGAGTATATATAAGATCATAAGACTACGGAATTTACTGGACAAGATATACACAGTTTTGCATATGGTAAACAAAATTCATTGCACGTAAAAAAGAACATCGCCATATATACACCACATCTTGCATGAAAAACATGGAAAACTAATAAAATAATGTTTCTCAAACTGGGACACCTAACTAAAAGTTTTCTTAATCAAAAGTAGACTTTATTTTCCTTAAGTGGTATATATACAAGGTAGTGACCCTCGAACTAGTTGTCTTTGAAACAGAGTATATCTAAAAAGTAAAAATCGACCGAAAAAAATATATATCTAAAAGTATCATCTAAAAGACTAACTCACTCACTCACTCACTCTCTCTCTCTCTCTCTCTCTCTCTCTCTCTCTCTCTCTCTCTCTCTCTCTCTCTAAGCTTCTGGATTCTCCATTTTTTCTTTTGGAAGCTTAGACACAATAAATAATGTCTGTGCGCTCAGTTCAAACCATGGAATTTCAGGAAAGACAGGAAATTTCCAGAAAGGCACCCTCCCTCTCCTCTAAATATATTTCTACCCAAATGACTGAATCTCAGAATCTCTCGCTCCCTCTCCCTCTCCCTCTCCCACATGGAGAGAAGTCAGTCATCAGACTTCAGAGACACCATGATCATACATATTGGTTATTTTTTCAAGGAAGGAAAAGTCAAAAGAATTATAAGGTATAGTGGTGGGTGTTGCTGGTACCTTGAGCTTGAATAATCAAAAAGCTTGCCAGTAGCAGAAAAGATGACAACTGCCACCTCAGATTCACACAGAACAGATAGCTCTGCAGCTTTCTTGAAGATCCCTCTTCTCCTCTTTGAGAATGTCACCTGCCTTGCTGGCAGGTAGTCAATCTTCTTGATCTTGATTTTCTCCCTCATCATTTTCACCATCCCCCTTCAAAAAAATTCAAACCAACCACTTTTCACATATATTATTATGTTCATACACTCAAAAACAACACAATATTTTATGGGTTTCTTCCATAAATTTTAAACATTTAATGGCCCCCAGATCTTGCGAACAAAACCCAGAAAAACCCACCAACCGAAATAGGTCAATAGTTCACAACAACATGCCTAGAGCACCAGAGCACAAAGAAGAAGAAGAAGAGGAGGAGAAGAACCCTAATTAATTAATTTCTGGGTTTTCCTCTCTTTGTTTAACGTTTACCTTCTTTGGAGGCTTTCAGGGTCTGAAGTTGTGTACAGAAAAACTAGGAGAACGAGAGGAGAAATGGCCGGCTGTTCGAGAAAGGAAAGGATTTAAATTGAGTTTTCCCTTTTATGGAAAAAAAATGTATCTTTCTATTATCCTGTGCTTTACTTTCGGTATCCTCTACCTGAGCAAATCGACGGGCACAGATGCTCTCGACGTTGATGAATGCAATCTCCACCGTTGATTTTGTAACGTGAGAGTAGAAAATGTGGCGTCTTACATCTAAGTATAGTTTGTTTTATAAAGTTGTCGGTATAATTCTTAGTGTCAGCCTACCGAAAAAGAAAAAGAAAAAGAAAAAAGATATTTATGCAGGGGATTTTTACTCCTTTGACACAGGTCATGCGCTGTCACGTCACCATGCGACACTTGGCTTTGTCTTTATCCTCCCCCTGCCCACTTCTACACATTTAATCTTAAGGAAATATGCAGGTAATCATTCAAAATTGATTTGGTTACCTTATTTTCGTCTAGTTTAAGTTTAGTTTAAGTTTCGGTACATGAGTTGTAATAGTCTAACTAAATAATGTCTATGACACTGACCCACCTACCAAACAAGACCTCAGAATCCTTTCGTAACGTTATCCTGTGCTGTGACATTGATAATCCAAGCAATACAAAATCCACAAGAGTCTCCATGCAGACTACATTGATACAAAGTTCTAAATACAATACAAGTCAAAGAGCAATTTGTCAGGCTGCACGTAATACACGGGTTTGGATACAACACAAAGTCGAGATAACACACACAATCACTGACATCTTATAATACCTCGACTTTCTTTATTTAGCTACAAGGAGAGTAAACTTCCATCGTTCTCCACTTCTTAACCAGAGAAATTAAGGAAGCCTGAAATTCATAGTAAAATGATAAGCAAATTTATTAAAATGGTGAAGGATAATTAAAATACCATGAATGCAACTGCGCATCAAGATATGTTGGGGGAGATGTTTTAAGTTGTATATGCCTCGTGCAGGTTATGCCATTTTAGTCGAGGGAGACGAATACATTTTCTCTCCTATGTTGGGATCCCGCAATTGAAGCTTTTATATAAAATTGTTTAAAATAAAAGAGAAATTTCGGGGAAAGTCACAAACTTCTTTCAATTTAAATAAGCACAAAAATGAAATGGCCCCAAAGACACACCTCAAAAGAAACTTGCTCTACAAACCCCTAAAACATATTCAATCGAAGTAAGCCCAAAACTTTGGGCCCAAATGAGGTGAAAACAGTTGGGCCCAAATCAGCACTTACGCCATACTGAAGCAGATGGGAATAAAACCTATCATCGTGCACCTGGCTTTGTACAAGTATCTGAAATTCATGATGACTTGACATTTCTATAATAAAAAAATATTGTCGACAAAAAATCCAACGCTTTGGTTTGCTAGAGTTAAAAATGAAACGCAGAATCAAGTTGACAAGTAAAGAAAAACATATCTTCTCTCCGCACCAGGAAGGGAAAATATCTTTTGTTACACGACACGACACCCTAGTATTAATTTTTTCTAAACAAAGCAAGCATATCTTCTCTGAATTCTCATCTTATCAAACTTAAAAAGCAAAGAGATATATACAACATAAATAAATACATGTACAGATATGTATATAAATAGCAAACATATAGCAAAGCAAAAGTAGGCTAGCTCACCCCAGTTCGAGAGATAAAGTGACGTCGTCGGAGTCATCTCCAAGGGAGAGACTGAGAGCACTGTTGCAGGTGGTGGAGATAGCAGATTCAGATGACATGCCTTCTTCTTCTCCTCCACCTCCGACATTATCATTCAACCTCTCCGGATCCATAAGCGTAGGTCCAGTATTTCCTCCGGATAACATCACCATCTGCTATGCAAAAAATTACAAAAGAAAAAAAGATCAACCCATCTTTTATTAAGAGAACTCTTCCTCTTGAAAAACAAATAAAAAAAACATACATATGGAAGAAATATGTACATGATTGTGGAAGTTGCTTACCGTCTGCTTTAGCTGGTTGTTGGCTTCTACCAGCTCAGCTCCCTGAAATTATAGTCAGTGCATGAAAGAGAGAACCAAAGCCAAACTCGGTTATGATCATTGATGTCAATTTATATATGTATTTTTTTTAAGTCCTGATTATTGTAAATAGTTGAAATTTGTTTTGGATTACAGAGTACGTATATCAATCGTCTCACCTTTCTTTCAAGTGCCATAATCTCACTCATTCTCAGTTCTTCCTGAAAAGCAATGGAATATTTACATTTCCATCGTATAGTTTATTTGCACATATGTAAGCAGCTATAATAGCAACTCAAAACATCAGGGACAACCCAGTTTCAATAACAAGAACAATTACAATACGGAGTAATGCCTTTGCACCATGCTTACTAGAAAAGAAATTATCGACGGCAGACCTTTGTTTCAATCACACGGCTAAGGCTTGTGTCCACCAGTTGTTCTAACTTCTGCAACTCATCAAAATTCAGCTCTTCAAGATCCTCTGCTTTCATCTGCCTGTTGCAAGCCACTCCAATTTCAGCAGATACATCAAACGATATAATACCAGCTAAAAACCCACATATATCTTACAAGTTCATGAATTAACAAATTATTGCCTCAGCTGATGGCTCTTCTCCTCCAGTTCCTTGCTCAATCCGATGTGATTTTCATTCTCTAGCTAAAATGAGAAATGAAACAATCATTAAGGTAATCTAATCTGTCTCTGCTACATGAAAAGCTTATAAACATAAGCCCCAAAAAGAAACAATGAGACAACATGATGGGAAAATAAAAGGATTACATTTTATTTATTTATTTTGAAAATGGAATCAAATGAATTACTTTAACATACAAGAACATGGATTTACAATTTGTCCTAGTCATTAATACCTTAGAAACGCTTAAGAGATTTAATTAATAGCGACAAACCCAACTTGCAGAGCAATTCAAAATTAGATTAAGGCAAATGGAAAAAGAACTTGTACTGATTAAATTGAGCACCAAAACATAATCTCTAGCTGGAAAGAAACATATTTCTTATCCACTCCAGTCTATCTATTAGTTAAAAAAGCCATCAAACTCAACTTCGTCTATAAAGATATGGAGTTTAATGAAATTTTGACCTAAGTATTCATCTTAGTCTTGAGCTAAGTGGCTCCAAATTTGGAGTTTCTCTACACGTATTTAGAGTTTTTGGTGCTGAAGCAACCAACAAAGTGAGGATTTAGGTAGCTAACGAAATTAGGGTTCTATATGAGCCTAAGCCTCAAATGCAACCAACAAAGTGAGAGTTTCAGGTTTGAGGCACCTTCGTGGAGAGATTAAACAAGTTTCAAGGTGTGGATCTCAGAAACACTAAGAGAGACACACAACATGTGATGAAGGACAAGATAGGGGTCAGTTGAAGTGGGAAAAATTAAAGAAGGGAAAGCCGCTCAAAGTTAGCAAGAAATTGCATATGAAGGAAAAATTGTGCTTCAGTATCATTTATGGTGCTAGATGAAATAGAAAAGGCGTAAAAGTTGGAATTTTCGGGTTGCTTGAGCAACTTTTATGAAAAATGGTTTTCAACAAGATTATATGAATTTATTGTTTGTTTCTAGATTTGGAATCAGTAGGATATTTTTTTTCTTGGTAAGATTAAGTTTATGATTCTAACATTCTTTTCTTGTCAGTAAACCACCTTATGGAAATCGTATTCATTATCTTATCATATCTTAGCTTAGCAATAAAATTTGAGAGTTTCCTCATCTCTGGTGCATTCCAAACTGTGTTCCAGGCAAGGGCAGAGCTATGCTAAGATATCGGGTCTGGTAACAAATCTAAAGAAAAACTGTTTGTATTGTCAAAATTGCATTCCAAATATGGTAGTAAAATTGTGTACTACATTTATGAAAGGAAATCACTCATGTCAATTCAGTACTCTAGACAATAGTTTACCAGGAGCAGGAAACATATTCCACATCGTTCTCAAACTCCCTCAGATCTTATACCAGCCAATACAACTTGCAAGAATTTGAGATAAGATCAAGAAAGTGGGGAAAAGAACTTTTGTTGCACTGAGTTAAGTTTAAAACCTAGGGAGTTGTAATCAATCTCTATAGTTGGATTTGGACATAATAAGCTAGATTTCCAAAGGGAACTCCATCAAAATTTCGAAGGCAACCAAAATTTCATTGATTTCTATGAATTACAGATTTACTGGGGAACCTACCAATATTCAGGCCTTTTTATTATGATCTTGAGACTTGTATATGACTGTTCTTTTCCTTTTTTACTTTTTCAAACCAAAAGGTTTTTAGATTCCAATAGCACACTGTAATACTCTAGGAGACTGTAATATCGATTCAATAGCATTCTCCAACTTAACTATCTGGAGTTTTGAAGAAATCATAAGAAATTCAAATTGGCTGCGCATTCCGCCACAAATACAGCTTGAAAAACAATGAGTTTATAAATCAAGTGGTCAAGAGCATCTTGCCTATCACTTGAGCAAAAAAGACTTGAAAAACAATAAACAGTAATAGAAGTGAATAAAAAAAAAATCTGATTGACTGATGGTGGATAGGCTCCATTGTATTCTCAAATCAGACTATGACTTGGCCCTACTAGAAATGGACTTACCAACGCCACCTACATATATTTATTCCAAGAGGCCCTGAATGCATATACATAAGTCCAACATGTAACAGAAAATAATACTGGTCTTTTGTATTTATGTTCAAACAATCAGAACCTTCAGATGCTAAAGACATACATTTTGATGCTCCAAAGTACAGATCACAGAATATGTTACAATTAATTGCAGAACAATTAAAGGGGGAAATGGAAAAGGTAAAACATTGAACTCATTTACCTGTAGCTCAACAGACGGTTCGTCCGATTTTTTGACACCATTTTTGTGCGCTTTGTAGCTTTCAATAACATCCTTGATACTTCACAACACAAAAGGAAAAAACAATCAATTGGCATGTTCACTAGTGTAAGTAGACATAGAAGATCAAATTAATACATGTAACAAAGCATGCTGAGAAAAGAAAAGGAAAATAATTAACCCCTTATGAAAAACTCTGGTTTGCAAACACAAAGACACACTTCTGTTTATTTTCTTTTGTATATACCATTATATGGTATGCTTTCCTTTAAGAAGCACTAATTGGGCAGTTGGTCAGGACAGTGAGCCCACCTCCCTTGCACCCAAGTTTGAATCCCCCTACCCGTAGATTTGATTAATTTAGATTATCACTTGTATTAAAAAACACACACTATTTCAAGAAGAGACCAATTTTAAGGAGTATTCAGGATTCTAATAATCTGTAATTTTTTCATACTAAAATTCTCTAACTTCGGTCACTGACATAACTTCAATGCTAAGCCATAAAGCATGATGGCATGGCATCTTGCTTTTCATACTTAAGTTTTCTTTAACAAGCATAACCAGCAACCAGAATTAGCATTCTTTTACAACTTAACCCCCAACAACCCACCACCATTAATTAGGCCAACTGCAAAACAATTCATAACTTCTTGTTATGGAATTTGGTTTCCAATTACAATGCAAACCCATAATTTCATTTTCAATTATAATGCAGAGTGCAAACAGCAGAGCCAAAAAAGGGCAACACCATAGAAAACCAATCATCTGAAAAGAAAGCAAGTGTAATGTATGTATTGCCTATTTCATTAAAATTTATTACAAAAAATTACATCAACAATAACCAAACCAGTTTTGACATGCATGAAATAAGCTAACTGGTAGAATTTATTACAACAAATAACATCAACACTGAAAAACAGAGGAACCAATTTACCCCACCCTTCCCAAGGAAAAAATAATCTGACCCCCATCAACCAAGAGTTAATTCCATCAGCACAAGTAAGATTTTTTAGATTTTGAAATCAAGTTAACATTTAATTTGAGATGTGGTCTTGTTGCATACACAATGAGAACGTTAAGCTGTTTGCTGGCTGCTGCCTGGCTGGCTTTATTGCTTGGTTTGGTTGTGCAAATAAAAACGTCAAGTAGCTGAGATATTTTAGAACACAATGGAAACCGACGTGAGACCATATCAAGTCACTAATAAGGAGTGGGCCCCAAAAATCTTAGTCACAGTTCCTCTCACATCAACTCTGGACCTCATTGCAATATGCTTTGAATCATGTTATCTTTGGTTGTCCTCTTTTTAGTCAGTGGATGGTTGAATCTACTAGGCCATATATGCCAACGTAATGGAAAAAATTCAGGGTCAAATGCATTTTGCACCCTTGTGAATCAGGATCCTAACTCATAAGGATTTTTACAATTATATTATTTCATAATTTATACATTTTTCGTAATATTCTTTCTTTAACTAAACAATTTTCCGTGTATACTTATATCCAAAACAAAGTACTCCACGCGTTTAACCTCAAATATGGCAAAGAAATCATTCCACGCTCTAAATGTTTAATCTGTCTAATATTCTACCACAACTAATTTGAACAATATTAGATGGATTTCCATATCAACAATGCTTAGCTCTCCCTAAAAAATTGTCCATAACTTGCAAAGCGCATCATGCTCATACTTAGGTATAACGAAACGAGCTATGTCGGTAACTCGTTTTCTTGTCCACCACAATTGGCGCTTGCCCATCCAAATACCTTTTGGTTGTATCATGCCTAACTTGGCAACACAAGATTCTCAACCCATCCATATACATTAATTTTGTTCTTCCCTTCCACTTATATAGTGAATCTTTATCAACCTGGGAGCGTAGTTCATATTGAGTGAATCTCGTCAACAAATTCTTGTCTAGTGTTTTTGTTTACTTTTGTCTTTCTTGATCGTGTTTATATTGTTTCACACTTGTTCTTTCGTGGAATCAAGAGAGAGATTTCCTAACAACTGGTATCAGAACTTGGTATTTTATGTGGGAACAATGAGCGTCGACAATGTTGAGAAGAAAGTAGACAAGTTTGATGGTAGAGATTTCTTGCTTCGGAGTTGTCACATCGAGAATTACCTCAATCTCAAGAAACTCTATGTTCCTTTATCTTTAAAAAAAACATATAAAAAAACCTAAGGACATGGAACAAGAGGAATGGGATGAGCTTGATGGTATGGCCTTTGCAGCTATCCAATTGAGGCTTACGAATGAAGTGAGGCGTCGAGACAACTTATGCATTGATGATGACTCTATCCGAGATGTATGAGAAAGCCATGTGTAATGCAACAACAGTATTTGATGAAGCGCTTGTTTAAACTGAAGATGACCAACCTTATTACTAGGAGGAGAAAGACTAAGGAGATAATTATAATATCTCGTTACACAAAGTGGATTCTAAATTTGGCAAAGCTACGTTGCAGTTTTGCAACCAAACCTTGACAAAAGCAACCGTTGGGCGCTCTCTAGTGGTTCCAGAGAAGCATGCCCTTGGAAAACCCTACTAAAATGGGAAGAAGATGATCTACTATGAAGCGGTGAACCTACTAAATAGGGAAGAGGAATGATCTCCTATGGAAGAAAACATAGTGAAAGTGGCTAAGGTTCTTAAGCATGTTAGTTTATACAATTTGCTACGACTAGGAATAGACAACATATGCTATATCTTGTGTTAACATGACCTCTCCAAGCCCTTGGGAGTTTCAAAAATAAAAATATGAACAAAAAATCTTAAAACAAAACTATAACAATGGATGAGTTTCATGAACACATAAATGAAATCTGAAACAATTTTGTATTATTGATTAAACTTCACTTATGACTTTGGAGTTTTTTCAATGACTTCAGGCGGCACATTACTAATAAATCTTTCGAAAATTTAGTACAACATAACCAAGTAGAGGAATATTTTTCTAAACTTCTCAATTACAGTTAAGGTCGACACACTATTTATAATTGGAAAAATTTGGACCAATATTTGCCCTTCTTGGAAAAGTTGGAAAAATAAAGTAAAATCTTAAGGCTAAAGAACTACACTTCTATTCTTCTTTAGTTTCAGTGTATATTAATTACAGTGAAGTCGTATTATGGTTTTTGTTTTGGTTGCAAGTACTCTGTATGGAAACAGAGTAACTTGTACATATGCTCAAATGGAAACACGGACTGCAATTTAGAGAAACTTAAATATATATATATATATATAGAGACAGAGAGAGAGAGAAAAAGTGGTTTAAAAAAAAAAAAAAAAAAAAGAGAGAGAGAAAAAGTAGACGAACTAGCCATTAATATTTAACTGAGACCTCCATTTGTCTCAAATCTTTTTTTATATATAAAAAGGCCGCTTATAATAACTTTTTATATATTAAAAAAAATCGTTAATTCCACACAATAGACATTTAGAGGTGGTATTTCTAGTTTTTGTTAATATTTAATATAAATTATCAGCGATTACTATGTGCAATTAATTTTGTTAACTGAAAGGATGCATGACCTTATTTAAACTCTTATTCCATAGTTAACATTTCATTCTCACCCTCTCTCCCTTTCCTTCCTCTCATGCATGCAAATCTGATTATGAAAGTAGGTTTTAACACGATCTTGCATGTATTCATGGCAAAAACATGTTATGGTCAGGCTCCACCACCCATTGCCCTACTTGTGGAGAAAAACTTAGTTGCAACGAGAATAACACTATTTTGCTATTCCTGGCCAATAATAGTATGTCATGTGGAAGTATTATCACGCGCGTCATAACTTTATTAACGGCAAAAACATGTTATGGTCATGGCTCCACCACCCATTGCCCTATTTGAAAGCACGCATGGATATTCTTGCTGAAAGTCTTCAAGGCTTCTATGATGAATTCCCAAGTTATCATCATATCACTTTATTCCTAGTAAGAAAACTACAAATCATATAATTCAATTTTTGTAACCTAGCAAATTGCAACCACATTAATTTATTGGCATTTTTTGGTTTAGGTGGGGAGAATGAAGGACACCTTTTCGGACACAACCCACCACTATCTTTACCATATGTGTGTGTACATATATATATATATATATGGGGTAAAGTGTAAAATACTCTCTTACTAGATAGACTATATATTATTTTATGTGGTCAGACTGTGAATTTAGAATTGGCGATATGTATTCTTGTTTAAGTGTATAATTTGATTGATGGTCTAACATCCTGTGTCTCTGGTAAGGGAACAATTAAATTTAAGGTTTCAATCATTTCCTAATAAAATAATGTTTCTCAAACTGGGGACACCTAGCTAGCAGATGTCTTAATCAATAGTAAACTTTACTTTCCTGAAGTATAAGGTAGTAATCCTCGAAATAGTCCCTTTGAAATACGGTCTCTCTCTCTCTCTCTCTCTCTCTCTCTCTCTTCTTCTTCTTCTTCTTTTTCATTCTCCTATTTTTATTTTTCTTTGCATTCTAGACCACAGTTCAAATCAAACCATGGGATTTCAGGAAAGAAAAAATATTTCCATAAAGGTACCCTTCTCCTCCAAATATATTTTGACCCAAATGGCTGAATCTTAGAATCTCTCTCTCTCTCTCTCCCTCTCTCACCCACACAGAGAGGACAAGTCAGACTTCAGACACATCATATCGGTTATTTTTTCAAGGAAGGAAAAGTCAAAAGAATTATAATTGTTGGTACCTTGAGCTTGAATAATCAAAAAGCTTGCCAGTAGCAGAAAATATGACAACTGCCACCTTAGATTCACACAGAACAGATAGCTCTGCAGCTTTCTTGAAGATCCCTCTTCTCCTCTTTGAGAAAGTCACCTGCCTTGCAGGCAAGCAATCAATCTTCTTGATCTTGATCTTCTTCCTCATCATCTTCAAAATCCCCCCTTCAAAAAAAATTCAAACCAACCACTTTTCACATATATTATGTTCCATACACTAAAAAACTACAGAATATTTTCTGGGTTTCTTCTCAATTTTAAACATTCAATGGCCCCCAGATCTGAGTGAACAAAACCCAGAAAAACCCACCAACCAAAATAGGTCACGAGTTCACAACAACATGCCTAGAGTACCAAAGCACAAAGAAGAAGAAGATGAGGAGAAAGAGGGAAAACCATCAATTAATTAAATTCTGGGTTTTCCTCCCTTTGTTTAATGTTTACCTTAGTTGGGAGGTTTCAGGTCTGAAGTTTTGGTGTGTCCAGAAAAACTAAGAGAATGAGAGAGAGAAATGGCTGCTGCCGCTGGCTCGCTTTTGTAAAAGAAAGTAAAGGATTAAAATTGAATTCCAAATTGAATTTTTCCTTTTTATAGAAAAACAACAGCTTTTATTACGTGTCAGGCTACAAAAGAAAAAAGAAGAAGGGAGTTTTATTTTATTTTTATGTGGAGGAGGATGGCCTATGATACAGGTCCTGCCTTGTCGTGTCATTTGATTGAACCCACCAAGCGACACTAGGCTTTATCTTTACTATGATCAGGTTAGAGCACGTCCAGCGTGAGGCTCCGGCCCAGTCAAGAGGCCCCAGCCCCTATTCGTGTTTCCAGCACCCTATTCTTGTCAGGACAAGAGATGGGCTCCACCAATCTGGGCAAACCCATAGGTGAGATTACTTGGGCTGCTGCACGGACAAGTTGATCTAATACTAATGTCATTGTGACGTCAGTAGTTAATTTAAATAGGTTTATTATCACAAAACGTGCATAAGGTTTACGAAACTATCATATTGCATTCTTAATATTTTTTTTTTTTTGTCACTCGTGGTCCAAAAGGTTAATATGTGCGATCACAAATAGTCCCTACCATTAGGTTCAGTTAAAACCTCCGTTAGTTTGCTGACGTGGCATATATATATATATATATCATAAAACATCCCTGAGGTTCACACACTTATCACAAGTGGTCCTTACAATTTTTTTTTAATTTTTTCATTAAAAATTCATAAAATTTTGATTTTCTTTTTAAAATTATTTATGAATGAAAAAACCTTTTATAAAAGAATTTTAATCTTGAGGACCATTTATGAACCCTAAACTCTTAGTTTTTTCCATTTTTAAATTTTATGAATTTTAAATTTTTTTAAAAAAACTCCATTAGTTTGTTGATGTGGCATACATATAAATAATAATATAGTGTCACATATTTAAAATTCATAAAATTTTAAAAAGAAAACAAAAAATTTATGTATTTTAAATTAAAAAAATTTAAAAATTTGTATAGACCATTTGTAATATGTGAACCTTAGGGATGTTTTGTGATATATATATATATATATATATGCCACGTCAGCAAACTAACGGAGTTTTTGACAAAACCTAACGGCAGGGACCATTTGTGATCACACATACTAACCTTGAAGACCACGAATAACACAAAAAAACATCAAGGATACAATCTGATAGTTTCGTAAACCTTACTGACGTTTTGTGATAATAAGCCATTTAAATAACAAAAAATATACCCAAAAAAAAAACCCAAAAACACCCAAAATATCATAAATTCTTTTTTAATAAATACCTAGCCATATTCTTCACTTCTCACACCAAAACTCTATACAAATTCATCTTCTCATATCTCATGTGAATAGTGGTTATCCTTAGGTTGTCATGGCAATGGGTGGAAAACCAACAAAAAAATGGCTAGGACATGCACTGTTTATGTATAGTAACAGCATTTGCTTCCCCTTGTCTTTTGTCATTGACAATAGGTGGAAATGCTCTTAGGTCATCTCCAGTTATAGGGCTAAATGTAGTCCACAATTATAATTTTAGCCCTTCAAAATATTTATTTTTTAAAGAATAGTGTAAGGCTAAATTTTTCAATTTCCAGCAATGCAGGACTATATTTGAGGACCCTCCATATTTTATTATTTTAAGAAAAACTATGGTATAATACTCATATATTTTAAGAAGTCCAAGTATCATATCCTCAATGAGCAGGTAGGCAAATGTCTGCACACAAACAAATAATTACACGTACCGAAATAAAAGTGACAAGCCAAATAGAAAAGTAATTTGATTTGAGTGTTGTAGATATTGAGTCTAAAAATGAAATACCAATAATGGAAATGCTAAGGCATCAAGGTTCAATTTTTTAAGCAAAATATGTTTCATGCTCTTTAATACAAATTATAACTTGATTAAAAGTATCATTGAGAAACTTTAATTGGGAGCTAAAGAAATTAAAACCAATTAAATTTTTCAATGTTATCTTTTATTAATGATTGTTCAGAAAATGGAATTGCTTAATATCTAATTATATAATTTAAAAGCATGCCAAGTTAGTTCTTAACAATTAGAAAAATATAATTGAACTTAGGAAAAGATAATAGCATTTATCATCAATCAAAATAAAAGGATATGAAAATATTGAACAACCAAAAATAAAAAAAATTAGTAATTCATAATGTATATTGGATTAAAGAACAATTCACAAACTTACTCAAAGAACATTCCGTTTAGTACTAGCAACTCATTACAAAGGAATATGTCATAGTGGTGTCCTTGCCAAATGAGTTGATTGGTGATTTATAGTAGTCGTGAGTAGAAAGTTAATACAATCATAACGGGTAATAAAGGGTTTTAAGTGAGGGATTAATTGGATTAAACATGTGTTGATGGTAGAGAGTCGGTGGAAAAGAAATAATGGTGAGGTAATGGGCGTTAAATGGTATGAATGACATGAAATAGACTCTTTAGCTTTAATGGATTTGTCTTCTCTTATCCCTCGTTACTTCTCTTTATAATCACAATAATCCCACAATCAATTCTTTAATAAAATCTGCCAAAAATTCTCTTCACACTTTGCTTGAACTTGGACAAATATATATCTTCATCTTTTGGCTTTCCAACTTCCTACAAAAGATAAATTCACCTAATCAGTTCACCAAATTTAATACAAAAAATTCATAAATTCAATTGGTGAGAATAAAATGTAACGGTAATGAAATTATCTTTATTAAGCCAAATTTATATCATAAAGTCTCCAAAATTATATTAAAAATATGTAAATTGAGACTCTCATCACCGAGCAGGAGGACTCCTAGCCAGGTTTGACAAAAGATAGCGAAACAACATAGTAGGGTTCAAGAGAAACAATGAAAAAAATATGCACAACACAAACCATTTTCCATATAAATATAGAATCCAAAAACAGTTGGCATGCTCACACGACTTTGGCAAACATTTTCCGAGTACCAATAATTTGCTTGTCTGACAACCGATCCTTAAAGGCCAACTAACCTTACCATAAATTAAAATATATCCAACTTACCTGGTACAATAGTGAGAGTGCCCATTTACCGGCTACGCTACTTCGACTAAACTTCATACGTAGGATATTGGAAAAGTCGGTTTGTGTAGCCCCTCTGGAGGTTTAGGGAATCGAAACCCAGGGAAGTCGCTATAGCCCATTTGCCATCAGGTCGTCGAGGATAATGCCCACATGCATATACCCTCCAAAACTTTGGAAATTCAAAGCCAAGCATCAATAAAACCAAACAATATGGTATCCAAAAAAAATGTATCTTTCGTACACAATAATATTTACTATGTCATATATATACACAAAATACAAGTTCAGGAGTGAGTCCCCCTACCTGGAATCCAAAGCTCAAGCCTGACTTGCCATCTGCACATTCGAACTCAAACTGGCCACTCTTGAGCAACTGAATCACAATCCAACATTTAGAAATAATAAGAAAAATTCTTAATTGCACTTTAGTCCTTTGTATTGTCTTTAATTGCACTTTGGTCCTTCAACTTAATCCAAATTACAAATTTGTCCTTATAAGTCCTTAAAGTTCCAAGTAATTGTAAAATAGTCCTTGTACTTTTTGAAAAGTCCAAAAATGTCCCAATAGTCTTGTAGTTCCACCTCTTGTCCAAAAACAGTAAAATTCACGATACGGTAAAGTTGAAGTCTAAATAGTACTTTGTTGTTCATGTCGTTGTTGTCGATGACGAGAGCGTGAATGCCTCCTTCATCGACGATAGTTATTTGTTGCTCATATCGTTGCCCTGTTTTTTTGGAGTTCGATTCAAGTTTTCAGAGATGGAGAAGCCTTTCTCTGTGGTGTTAAGGGCGAGGTTTTGGCTCATGACGGCGAGGAATGCTAGACCGATGCGCAAGAGAGCCACTAAAGCTTCCACGGTTTCTGTTGTAAATATAAACATAGAGATAGAGGGTTGGTGGAGCAGACAGAGCCAGTGTATTTTTAAAAATAAAAAATCTCTTTTTAAATTGTTTATACAATAATACACAATTTTCTGCTAAAAAGGGTAATACAAAAAGTTTAATTGTTTTTTTCCTATGTGGAGTGCAAATCAGGAAAAAAAAAAAGGGATTTAAATTTGCCACGTCAGCATTTAACGGCTCTACTAACGTACTGGGTAACATAGGGTCTCAATCGTAAGGTTTCTATAAGTTGGAGTACCAGTCAAACGAGTCTTTAAAGGTTGGGATGAGTATGTAATGACTCCTATACTTTTGGTGGTTTATTGTAGTTGATGCAAATATATATATATATATATATATATATATTCTCTCCTATGCGGACATTCAGACGCTATTATCGTGCTGAATGCCATGTATTTTACACTATCCCTCCCTGCTTTTCTTAATGTTTACAATGGCTTCACAATAAACTTATTTGAGAGACACCTTTTTAGGGCCCACTACGCATTGTATTTTACTAAATCAAGCTGTCTATTTTTGAGATATTTATTCAAATATCATTTCTACTAAAAACTAAGGGTAGGCATTAATCCAGCAGAACCAAATTGTAATTACCAGTTTAGTTTGGTTTTGAATTTTTGTAAACCGGCCTAAACCGAACCGAACTATTTATGTGTATATTTATTATTTATATTATATTTTATGTGTAATACTCTAAATAGGTAATAACTATATATGACTATTTGAAGCTATATTAGTAATTGAAATTTAAAGTTTTATGACATGTTGAGCTTTAGGATAATTTAAATATGAAGCAAGTTGTGAATTTGCTGGTTGTAATTGGGTTAACAATACTGAAAAAAATGCAAAATAAAAGAGAATTGGGCTTAGGCCTAAACCTACCAAACCAAATCGTCTTAAATTGGTTTACTTTGGTTTGATTTTCTTCATGACTTTTGTCAAAATTGAACCGAACCAAACTGTTATTTTGTAATTAATTCGGCCGTTGTTTTGAGTTGAAACTGATCCAATCTGAACTGTGCTCACCCCTTAAAAAAACACTTAAATCCAATATATATATATATATAATCTACACTTATAGACCATCCTTGCAAAGAATTAGAAAAATTGGAAAATATTTCAATATCTAATTATGTCCTATAAAATCAATCATATTCTATTAATGGATCCTTCACACACACACACACACACACAAATCAACGATCCAAACAGTCTATTTTGCAAATCTTTATTCATAGATCATCTTTGCAAAAAATCATGCAAATTAAATTTCATTAAAACATTTAATTGAGACCAATAAAATAGACAGACACAATGCTTTAAGAAAAGACTATAATAACAACCATTTAATTGAGTGGTCAACTGGTTTCGAATTCAAGTGAATTTTTCCAAAGATGATCTTTGAGGGAATATCTAAAAACTAAATAGTTCGGATTATTGAAATACAATGCCTAATGGGGCCTATATGGGTGTCTATTTGAAGGATCGCTCAAGTAAATCTCTTTGATTGGAGAAAGTAATAGAAGTGGTGGGAAAGTGATGCAACACGTGTTTATACTTCCTATGCACTGATATACAATGATATAAACTTGAGTTAATGGCACAACAAATGAGGGGTAACTACCTTCAAAACTTACCTTTTGAATTTTTATATATATAAATAATCAAGTAATATATTAGGCTGCATTGATGCAAAGTTCTAAATATAATACTTGAGTCATAGAGAAATATGTTAGGCTGCATGCAATACATAGGTTTAGATACAACACAAAGTTACTCTCCCTTCAATATTTTTTAATCTTGTATCGAGTTAAGACACACAATCACTGATATCTTACAATACCTCAATTTTATTTAGCTATAAAGAGAGTAAACTTTCATCTTTCTCCACTTCTTAACCATGGAAATTAGGGTTAGCTATAAGGAGAGTAAACTTTCATCTTTCACCATTTCTTAACCATAGAAATTAGGGAAGCCTGAAATTTAGAGAAAATACAAAGTGATAAGCAAATTTATTAAAATGGTGAAGGATAATTAAACTACCATAAATGCAACTGCGCATCAAGATATATTGGTGGAGATGTTTCAAGTTGTATATGCCTTGTGCAGGTCATGCTATTTTAGTTTAGAGAGCGTGGAATACATTTTCTCCCGTATGTTTTCAATAGCACTGTGTTGGGATTTCGTAATTGAAGCTTTCTGTATTTTCGATAGAGAAATGGGGGCAAGTTAGTTATTATTATTTTTATATAAAATGGATTAAAATAGTTTTATTTGGACCTATATGCAACGCAACAATGCTGACGTTAATTCAAATAATCCATCCATTATTTTCTATAAAAACACATTTTTAAAAATCCAAGACTTGGGAGGGTAAGTGGTAAAGAGGTGAAAATAGTTAGGCCTAAATGAGCACTTATAACATATTACTGCAAATATTGAAGCAGATGGGAAGAAAAAAAAAATCATATTGCACCTGGCTTTGTACAATTTATCTGAAATTCATGTTGACTTTGTCGATGAGTTTGGTTTTTTTTTTTTTTCCCCTTCTAAAAATCCATTATTTTGGTTTGGTAGAGTTAAAAACGAAACCCAGAATCAAGAAATAAATCTAAACAAACCAATGGGTCTTAGTCCAGTGGAAAAAGGCATTGACTTGCGCACCAAAAGTCTCAGATCTAATCATAATTTTGAGTGTGAGAAATTCTTCTCCCCTATAGTTTAGACTATAGCTTGTGCTAAAATCTTTATTCTTTTTAGTACCATAAAAAAAAAAAAAAACCAAGCATGTCTTCTTTGATCTGATCAAACTTAAAAAGCAAAGAGATATAAACAATAAACTATATATATAAATAGCAAATATCTAGCAAAGCAAAGCAAAAGTAACTAGCTCACCCCAGTTTGAGAGCTAAAGTGACGTCTGAGCAGTCATCTTCAAGAGAGAGACTGAGACCACTGCTGCAGCTGCTGATGGTTGCATTTGTGGCAGATTCAGATGACATGCCTTCTTCTCCTCCATCTCCAATATTATTAATGAACCTCTCCGGCTCCGTAAGCCCAGGTCCAATATTTCCTCTGGATAACATCACCATCTGCTATGGAAAAAACACAAAATATAAAGAAAAGAAAGAAGAAAGAAGAAATATGTACATGATTGTGGTAGTTGCTTACCCTCTGCCGTAGCTGGTTGTTGGCTTCTACCAGCTCAGCTCCCTGAAATTAATGTCAGTGAATGGAAGAGAAAACAAGAGCCAAACTTGGTTATGATTATTGATGTTAAAGTCCTGATTATTGTAAATAGTTGAAATTTGTTTTCATTTACAGAGTACGTATATCAATCGTCTAACCTTTCTTTCAAGTGCCATAATCTCACTCATAATCAGTTCTTCCTGAAAAGGAATGGAATATTTGCATTTACATCTTATAGCTTATTTGCATATATTATATGTAACCCAAACTGCATACACCTATAGTTTACAGAAAATAAACCAGCTATAATACCAACTCAAAACCTCAGTGACAACTCAGAATACCCTGTTTGTACAAAGGAGTTTTTCAAACAAAGGACAATTGTGGGACATACTTTATATTGCTCCAACGGTTCATTATTTTGGTTTTCATTCAAGAATCATCGAGAGAAAAAAAAAAAAAAAAAAAAAAAACAATATCAGAGACTATATTTCACCAATTCATTAAATGGTAATGATTTGAGTGTTTGTTTGAGACATTGTGTTGTTTATTTATTGGAACACAAATTCAATGTCTTAAACCAATTAACCAACTTTCTCCAACGGTTTCGATCATTAAACCGCAATACAGAGTAATGCCTTTGCACCATGCTCACTAGAAAAGAAATTAGCTACGGCAGACCTTAGTTTCAATCACACGGCCAAGGCTTGCGTCCACCAGTTGTTCTAACTTCTGCAACTCATCAATATTCAGCTCTTCAAGATCCTCTCCTCTCATCTGCCTGTTGCAAGACAGTCCAATTTCAGCAGATTGATACATCAAACGATATAATACCAGCTAAACAGCCACATATATCTTACAAATTATTACCTCAGCTGGCGGCTCTTCTCCGCAAGTTCCTTGTTCAATCTGATCTGGTTTTCAATTTCTAGCTAAAATGAGAAATGGAACCATCGTTTAGGTAATCTAATCTGTCTATCACATGAAAAGCTTATAAAAAATGGATTACATTTTTATCTTATTTTATTTTTTGAAAATGGAATCAAATTAATTACTTAAACATACAAGAACATAAGCCTCAAATGCAACCAACAAAGTGAGAGTTTGTCACCGCCTAGAGGTTTGGGGCACCCTTTGTGGAGAGATTAAACAAGTTTCAAGGTTTGGATCTCAGCAACACTGAGAGAGACACACAACATGTGATGTAGGACATACTTGTTGAATTTGCACTCCAAATATAGTAGTAAAATCGTGGTACTACATTTATGAAAGAAAATCACGGATGTCAATCTAGTACTCTAGACAATAGTTTACCAGGAGCAGGAAACATATTCCACATCGTTCTCAAACTCCCTCAGAAAGCTTACGGATTTAGTACCAGCCAATACAATTTGCAAGAATTTGAGATAAGGTCAAATTCTGGCCTTTTATTATGATCTTGAGACTCGTATACGACTGCTCTTTTCCTTTTTCACTTTTTCAAACCAAAAGGTTTTACAATCAGAACCTCAGATGATAAAGAGACACATTTTGAAGCTCCAAAGTGCAGATCACAGAATATGTTACAATTAATTGCAGAACAATTAAAGGGGGGAAATGGAAAAGGTAAACCATTGAACTCATTTACCTGCAGCTCAACAGACGGTTCGTCCGATTTTTCGACACCATTTGTGTGCGCTTTATACCTTTCAACAACATTCTTTGTACTTCACAACACAAAAAGAATAAACAACCAATTGGCATGTTCACAAGTTTAAGTTAGTAGACATAGAAGATCAAATTAACACGTGACAAAGCATACATGAGAAACCAAAAAAAGGGAAAATAATTAACCCCTTATCAAAAATTTGTGGTTTACAAACACAAAGAGACACTTCTGTTTATTTTCTTTTGTATATAGTACATACTATTGTATGTTATGCTTCCTTTTTATTTTTTTTAACACTATTTCAGCTGACATTGGTTAGGCTAGTTGACTAGGGCAGTGAGCTGAGCCCACCCACCTTGCACCCAAGTTCGAATCCCCCTCCCCATAAATTAGATTAATTTAGAGTAATTTATACTATCGCTTCTATTAAAATAAAATCACTATTTCAAGAAGAGACCAATTTTAAGGAGTATTTCAATAAAATTACTAAAATTCTCTAACTTCTCTCACTGACAAAACTTCAATGCTAAGCCATAAAGCATGGCACGACATCTTGCTTTTGATAGAATTCCTTAATATCTATTTTATAGAATTATTATATATACGACCAAGCAGCTGAGATATTTTAGAACACAAGGCAAACCGACCTGAGACCATTTCAAGTCAAATAATAAGGAGTGGGCCTCATTGCAATATGCTTTGAATCTTGTTAGTGGAAGTGGCTGAGGTTCTTAAGAATGTTAGTATATACAATTTGATACGATTAAGAATAGACAACATATGCTATATGTTGTGTTATCATGGCCTTGCTAGCCAAGCCCTTAGTTTCAAAAATAAAAATATGAATAAAACTATATATATTTATATATATTGTTTAGTTTAAAAGGAATGATTTTTTTAAACAATGTGTACCGAATTGCCCCTCTACATGTAACCGAAATTAAGGATTGTCCTTGAATTGCTTCAAATTGAAATCACATGGGCAAATATAATAAAATTAAAACCATAGGGACCTTTGTGGTAAAAGTAATAAACTACAGGGACCAAAAGTGACTTTTAGCCTAAAACTGAACTACAATAATGGATGAGTTTCATGAACACATATATGAAGATTGAAACAATTTTGTATTATTGTTTAAACTTCACGTATGACTTTGGAGTTCCGAGACTAATAAATCTTTTAAAAGTTTAGTATAATAGAACCAAGTAGAGCAATACTTTTCCAAACTTTTAAATTACAATTAAGGTCGACACCCTATTTAAAATTTGAAAATTTTGACCAATATTGCTCTACTAGGAAACTTGGAAAAGTTTGAAAAATAATGTAAATATAAAGTAAAATCTAAGGCTAAGTTGTAAATGGTTTTTGTTTTGGTTGCAAATACTCTTAAGGGCTCGTTTGGTACACTGTATTAGACTTTGGACATGAGTAAATACTCTCTCTCTAATATTCTCTCTCTCTCTCTCTCTCTCTCTCTCTCTCTCTCTCTCTGTGGAAATTAGGTTATCAGTTTTTCCTTTTTTAAGTTTTTTTTCATGCTGTATTGAAACAATACATGCGGCTGTATATCCAACTCAATAATCAAATAACCATCATGCGGCTGTGTATCCAACTTAATACATGCTGCTGAGTTTTTCTTGTGTTTTTTTCTGTGTATTTCATCTCCTCCAGATGTCCAACTCAATAATCAAATGATCATCCCAAGTCAGCGATTAGAACAATACATGCGGCTACGTTTTTCTCGCTGTATTTTTTTTCCTACTTTTGGTGTTTTGTTGGGTTGTTTTCTGGTTATTTTCGTGTTGCTAATGCTGGCTGTTGATTCTCTTCTTGACTGCTTTTGTTGGGCTTCAATATATTCTCTTTTTTTCTTAATTATATATATGCAAATTATACTATCTATATTGTCTATATTTCCATTTAAATTATCAAAGAATTTTTTGTAAAAAAATAGTTTGATCCAATATTATCCAGAACAGCACCAAGCACAATATAACTTAGTCAGACTATTTATCCGAAACAGATTAATACTATCCAACAGAAATTATTCAATACAATCCGACGTACCAAACGAGTCATAACAGTGTAACTTGTACAAATGCTCAAATGGAGACATTAAAAAAAAAAAAAATTGGACAAACTAGTAGTACCTTTGCATATAACATGTCAATTAGGCCTGAAAACCTAGAAAAAAACTTTAAATGAAATTTACAATTGAAACAAATTAGAAATTGCCTACTTGCACAAACAGTTAAAAGTCTCCTTTAAGGGCGGAACTATGAATTTTTTGAAGAGTGGGCTAACTAAAATTTTTAGCTTAAAAATAATATTTTCATATTCATAGAAATAGTGGGAAAATTGCCAAAAAGACCACAAAACGAGGGCCCCAACCACAAGTGGGAATGACAAGTTGAAGGGCTATACATGTTTAATTTTGTTTTTCTTTAAACATGGACTACAATAGGTTAAAAAAAATATCTTTAAAAAGCTACCTAGTGTCACGGGATGACTTTTTCGGAGTCTTCCTTCCGTGCGGCCTTAGACTTGATCGCCTCTCGAACAAGCTAAGTCAGCCTCCTTCCTACAATACAAGATCGAACCAAGCAAAGAACAATCGCAAGAGCAAGAACAATAAGAATGCTTAACAGAGTTTGGGAGAATATATGCTTGTATTGCTACTCAAATGCTTTACAAGTTGTGAGGTGAGGATACACAAAGTGTCATCCCCCTTATATACTATCCCTATCCCACCTACCAACACAGTAGGTGGGTAAGATACAATGTCACCTACCAACATCTACCAACTACTGTCACCAACTGTAGTCTACCAACTACTATACAACGAATCTGGACATGTGGGCTAAGAGGTCTAGCATGATCAATCCAACGGGTTGGGCCTTGAACATGCGGGCCGTGACACTTGGCTTGGCTTGGCCTTGGCATGCCTTGCCTTGCCTTG